CCCCCCCCTTTTTTTGGCCGGGGGGCCCCCCAGCCGCTCCTGAACCTCACGGCCCAGGCTGAGCCGCGGCGGGGGAGCAGCGACCACTCTGAGGGCTTTCCTCATGCCCCGCTCCACATAGGCCGTGCTCTTGTGCCTCGGAAGGAGGGGCTCCTGGGTAGCTGTTTCCCTGAGGCCGTGAGGCCTGACCTCTCGGGCTGCTGAGGCCGGCTGGGGCAGCCGCACCGACTCCATGATCCTCTTGGGCAGCCCCCAGCGCCGGTGCATGAGTGTCTTATGCAAGCTGAGCTCCAGCTCCCGTCTGCTGCCCTCGCTGAGGAAGGACAGCTCCGGCTGGAGAATGGCCACTTGGGCCGGCGGAGGGGCTCTGGGCTGGCTGGCGGGCGGGGGGGTTCCTTGCAGGCCCCGTATGGATTTCTGGATGATGAGAGGCAGCCCCCACTCATGCTGCAGTTTCTTCTTCCTGACGTGCCGCTCCAGGGTTTCCCGGGCGCCTGGCGGGAGGAAGGGCAGCTCCTGGTCCATGAACTTGGTCCGGGCTGGGTGGGTGCTGGAAGGCGGCAGGGCAGGGGCGGGGACTGTGCGGAACAGCTTGGCCAGGGACCGGCGGTACAGCGTGGGTAGCCCCCACATGAAGTTCAGATGCTTGTGGCGGAGGTTGAGCTCCACACGATTGGAGGCCCCCGGCTCCAGGAAGAGCAGCTGCCGGCTCCGCCGCTCCAGGGGTCTCTGGCCGGGGCGAATCAGCCGGGGCAGGGGGAGCTTTCCCAGCCGCCGAACAACTTCCTGCGAGCGTTGGGCCCTGCGGGGGATCAGGCCCAACCGGATCTCTACGTTTTTCCGGGCCACATGTCTCTCCAGTAGCTGGCGGCACGTGTCCCAGCTGAGCTGCTGGCTCCATGCAGCTCCCAGGGCCCCGGCTACGGAGACAGGCACTGCTGTGGGGTGCACGAGGGTCCTTCTGGTGGCTGATTTGCTTGGAGCCCTTCTCCCTGACAGCTCCCTGAGAGGCCGGCTGGCCCTTGTGCCTCGCGTGTCCAGACGTGGCCCTGGAGCTGTGGGCGTGAGGCGTGTGAACACCCGCAGGGACTCCCTCACCCGCCGGGGGAGCCCCCACCTCCTCTCGGCCACCCTCCGCCGGATGTGGGCTTCCAGCTCCCTCGCGCTGGCCAGGGAAATGGGGGGGATCCCGCAGCTCACACGGAGCTCCCGGGCTGCCAGACGGACCCTCGTCTTGGCTCTGGGGTGCGCAGGCGGCGGAGGCATGAAATGCCCCAGGGATCTCCGCACCAGGCCGGGCAGTCCCCACTCATGCTGCAGTCGTTTCCTCAGGACGTGCCTCTCCAGCAGCTCCCAGTCCCGGTGGGCCATGAAAGGGGCCTCCAAGTGGCAGAAGTCGACGGCCGTGGCCAGGGGCAGCGAGGGGGCGGGGGGCCCGGACATCATCCTGGCGAGCGACTCCGCATACAGGGTGGGGAGGGCCCAGCGGTATTGCATGTACTTGTGCCTCACATTCACCTCCACGCTGGCCGCCTGGTGCCGGAGCGAGGGGCAGAGCTGGTGGCGGGCCAGGGGAGCTTTGCAGCCGGGGCGGATGAGTTTAGGCAGGAGCCAGTCTTTGCGCCCCCGGGCAGCCATTTTCTCAGAGCTCCTCAGCATGGCGGGCAGTGCGCCCAGTCTGATTTCCAAGCTCTTCCTGGCCATGTGGCCCTCAAGCGCCGAGGTCTCTCTGCAGCACTGTGAGCTAGGCGTGGATTCGGACACTCTGGTGGTACCCCGTGAGGGCTGGGCGGGGGCTTTAGCTCTCAGGCGGGGCATTTGGCCTGCTCTCTTCGCCGGGCCTGCGCCCCCTGGAAACCGTCTCCCAGGCAGCAGGGGGCCGAGCTGGGGGCGAGGAGATGCAGCCGGCTCCATCTTGGGGAGGCCCCATCTCTTGAGGTTCACCATCCTTTCCAGGTGCCGCTCCAGCTCTGTCCTGGAGGCGACGCTCAGGAAGGGAAGAGCCTGTGGCACTATCACCACCGTGGCCGCCCACCGGGCTCTGCGTGAGGTGGCTTTCAGGATGGGGGGCATAAAGCTCTTCAAAGCCTTCTGCAGGGTGTAGGGTAGCCCCAGGGTGTGTTGCAGTCTCTTCACCTGGACGTGCCGCTCCAGGCTCACCCGGACGTCCCTCTGGAGGAAGGGCGTTTCCACTTCGAAAAATTCGATCCTGCCATGCACATGCGGGGCTTCGGAGCTACCCCGCACTGGGGGTCTCATAGCCAGAAACTCCAGAGCTCCTCCTGCAGCCACGGGCGCTGGGCTGTCTCGGTCTGGGCATCCTGGTCCCAGCCTGGGATGTGGCCACGAACGGCACCCGATCGGGGCGATGCACCTGTCTTTGAGGAGTTGCCTGGGGACTCTGTGCTCTGCCACTGTGCAGGAGAGTCCCTCCCCAACCAGGTGCTGCTTGGCTTGGAGGGAAGGGCTGGAACCGGGCAGGAGCGGGGCCAGGGTACTCCTCATGCCTGGAAGGAAACATCTCGTGCTGCCTGGACCTTGCTCTCAGTTCCCCGGCGAGAAGAGACGACTCATGCTGGCTCAAAGAGTAGCTCTCTGCTGGCCTCCGGCTGTGCAGAAACGGCTCTGGCTGGCTCCGTGGGAACTGCTGCTCCTGCTCCCAGCGGGTACGGGACAGCACGTGCCGAGTGGACAAGAATTTCAGATCCTCTTCCCAGCTGCAAAAAGAGGAGCTCTGGTTCTGCTCCCGGCTGTGAAGGGGTGGCTCCGAGTGACTCGATGAGGAGCTCTGGTCCTGCTCCCAGCTGTGAAGGGGTGGCTCCGAGTGGCTTGATGAGGAGATATGGGCCTGCTCCCAGCTGTGAAGGGCTGTCTCTAGCTGACTGGACAAGTATATTCGGTCCTGCTCCCAGCTGTGACGAGATGGCTCCAGTTGGTCAGACAAAGAGCTCTGGTCCTGCTCCCAGCTGTGAAGGGGTGGCTCTGAGTGGCCGGACGAGGAGATATGGGCCTGCTCCCAGCTGTGAAGGCCTGTCTCTAGCTGACTGGACAAGTATATTCGGTCCTGCTCCCAGCTGTGACGAGATGGCTCCAGTTGGTCAGACAAAGAGCTCTGGTCCTGCTCCCAGCTGTGAAGGGGTGGCTCTGAGTGGCCGGACGAGGAGATATGGGCCTGCTCCCAGCTGTGAAGGGCTGTCTCTAGCTGACTGGACAAGTATCTTTGGTCCTGCTCCCAGCTGTGATGGGATGGCTCCGGCTGATGGGCTGAGGAGCTATAGTCCTGCTCCCACCTCTGATGGGATGGCTCTGGCTGGGTGGGTAGGGAGATCCGGTCCTGCTCCCTCCTGTGATGGGCTGGCTCTGGCTGGCTGGTTGAGGAGATAGGGGCCTGCTCCCACCTGTGAGGGTCCGGCTCTGGCTGGCTGGACGAGTATCTTTGGTCCAGCTCCCAGCTGTGACGGGATGGCTCCGGCTGACGGGCTGAGGAGCGATAGTCCTGTTCCCACCTCTGAGGCGATGGCTCCGGCTGGCTGGGCAGGGAGCTCTGGTCCTGCTCCCTCCTGTGACGGGCCGGCTCTGGCTGGCTGGGCAGGGAGCTCTGGACCGGCTCTTGCCCGCGAAGGCGAGTCTCGTGCCCACGGGAGGAACAGCTGAGACATTCTGCCTGCTCCCTGGGGGAGCTCTGGGCCTGGCCCCATGGGCGGCGCTCAGTTTGCAGGCCGCCTGCCTGGCGTTCTGGCGGGGAGCGGGACTTGCGGGGCGGAACGGGGCCCACACAGGAGACACCCGACAGCGGCACCACGGCAACACGCTGAAGCCTCGCCACGTGGAGCTGTCCAGCAGGCCCCTCCCTTTGGGGCTGGTGGCCGCAGAGGGAGGTGACTCTGGCCTGGCAGGGACCCACGTGCTGGCCCTTTCAGTGTACACCAGCTCCTCAGCTTGCCGGGCTGCCTCGTTGCACAGGGTGCAGTCAGCGTTGTCACACAGCAGCGTGCGGATGGAGCGGCTTCTGGTGGCCCGGCGGGCACGGCTGGGGTGCTCCCGGCCTGGTTGGCTGTAGGGCTGCTTCACCAGCAGCTTCTCCACACCTAAAGCAGACCAGGAGAGAGGGCGTGTGAGGAGAGCCGGGAGCGCAGAGCTGCTGCGTGCACCGGGCCAGGAGCGACGAAAGCTCCCTAAACATGGGGGAGGGGACCCCCAAAGGCACTGTCCTGTGGCCCTGTCCTCTCCCATTCCCGAGTCCTGAGGCCCCATCCCTGCCCCACCTCTTCTCGCCAAGCCTCTGCCCTGACTCCGCCCATTCCCTCAGGCTCCGCCCATCACCCTGCCCTGTCTCCCTGAGCCTCTGCCCTGACTCCGCCCATTCCCTCAGGCTCCGCCCATCACCCTGCCCTGTCTCCCTGATACTCTGCCCTGACTCCGCCCATTCCCTCAGGCTCCGCCCATCACCCTGCCCTGTCTCCCTGATACCACCCATTCCCTCAGGCTCCGCCCATCACCCTGCCCTAACTCCCCAAGCCACTGCCCTGACTCCGCCCATTCTGTCAGGCTCCGCCCATCATCCTGCCCTAACTCCCAGAACCTCTGCCCTGACACCGCCCATTTTCCCCTGGACCCTACCCCTATATTGTCTTTTCGTCCCAAACCCCGCCCCCTCACCACCGTTTCCCTTTAAGACCTTCCCCTTCCCATGCTTCTCCTCACTTCTTTGCCCCCATTTCTCGCCCTTATGGCTATTGAAAAGTGGGAGGATATAGCCCCCTGAATCCCCCTCACCCTCCCATTCCAGCACCCTGCCCCCAGGCAGCCCTGTCCCGCCACAGCAGGACGTGGCATGCTGAGCGTGTGAGAACCCAGCGTGCCATGAAGCACTCCGCCAGCTCCCCTACCCTCCACTCACTTTTCGCCAGCACAAAGCCATGGAGGCCAACGCTAGGCCTTGGCCTCTGTCATGGCAAATCCCCCAGACGGACGATGGTTCGTTAGCACCATGTCAGCTCATCCCTGCTCTGCTCAGCCCCTCTGCTGCCCCCTCCCAGGAGACAGGCCAGAGGCCTCATTTGAGGCAGAGGGAAAGGCTTGGAAGAGGCCCTTGGATTTGGACCCTGGGCGCTGGAGCGGAGGGCGAGGCAGGCCCTTACCTTCTCCCTGCTCCTTCGTCCTTCTCCACCAGAGCCTGCTGCCCAGAAGAGCCTGTTGGGGCGAAGGATGTGGCAATGTTAGAAGGCACCATGTTTCCCTCCAGCTCCTGCACTGGCTCCGGCCCTGCCCTGTTCCCCACCTAAGTGTCATTGGGACAATTTTGGGTCTTCCCCTGCTATCGGGGCATCGCCAGACTGGAGCCGCGGCAGGGCAGACAGGCCAGGCTGCTCCCACACGCTCGGCAGCCACATCCCACCAGCGCCTGCTCCCCGAGTCTGGGCAGGGGCCCCTTTCTCCAGCCTCCCCGACAGGTCATGGGGGCTCCCCTCAGCCACCCCATGCCCATGGCCAGGCAACCCCAATGAAGGGAATGCCTAGGCCTCCCCTTTCTATTGTGCTCTCTCAGCCCCTTGAATTCCAGGCTGCCTCCTGTTTGTCCTTGGTGTTACAGGCAGTTCAAGAAGCCAAGGCAGTAGGCTTCCTTTCTCCTCCCCTGGCCTGCCCTCTCCTCAGGCGGCTGCGAGGCCGGGGCTCTGAGAAAGCTTGTGGCTATGGGAGGGAGCTGGGAGGGTTTATTGGTCACAGCCTAGCTAGCAACTCCATCTATGGGGGAAAGAACCTGGCTGCGGGGTCCCAGCTTCCCCGAGGGCAGCGAAATCAATCCCCAGAGCCGGGTTGGTGCCGGGAAAGACTGTGGCCATGGGGGAGAGCCTGGGTGTTCCTCGCGCTCGCCATGGGGACTTGAAGGAACGGCCGGTGAGTGGAGCCACCAACTCTGTCAGTGGCCATGTCTCCCTCTGTGGATGTGCCACGCCATCCCAATGGGGCCTGGTCATATCACAATACCCCCCTCCCCTCCCCCTTCCATGGGGCAGACTGTGCTGAGAGCATGGAAAGGCTGCCGAGGGGGTTGAGGGGCCTCCTACCATCCTCGTTCTCCAGGAAAAGCTGCGCTTGGTCTTCCAGGCCATCCAGACGACCAAGGTCAGAAACAGGCAGCTGTACAGCACCCACCAGCTGTGCAAGCAGACACAGAACCAGCTCTGCGCTATCCCTATCCCCGTGTCAAACATGCTGGGGGGCCTGGCTCCGCCGTGGGGAAGGGGGCGGGGAAACGCTGCCCTTCCAGCTGCTGCCTCGGCTGGATCTCTCCTGAGGGCTCTTTGTTCCAAAGTGCATCACAAAGGGCCAGGCAAGGCTGGGGGCTGACCTCACAAAGGGACTGCGGGCACCGGTCCCGCTCCTCCCTGGACCCACGTGGGGACCCACAGGCGGAGCGCAAGTCGCCCCGTAACCTGCCCGCGTTATGCGAAGATCGAGGTGCGAGAGTCTCGCTCTACGAGGCAGGTTTCCCGGCCCTGAGGCAGTCCGGGGCTCTTCAGCGAATTCTCGCTAACTTATCCCGCCCTGCTCGAAGGAGGGCACAGGACTGGGTGCTACTCCAGCACCGTCCATGCCCGCCGCAACACAGAGCCAGGGTAGAACTCGCCCTCTTCCATGCCACCGTTTGAGTTAGAGGGTTGAGACAGTCCGAGGCTGTTTCCACCCTGGTAGCAGGACTCCCCCAGCACCTGTCAGGCAAACCAAATTCCCCTTCATCAGGCAGCGTTTCTCTCTCCACGTTGGAGCTTGGTGTGTAAGGAGCCGGTCGTCTTGTCCCCTCATGTGCTGGTCTGGTCTGGAGCAGACACCACTACACACACGCACCTCCCCCCGGTGTGCTAGCTCTGCGCAGGCGCTGAGCCGGACGCACTCAGGGTCGGCTTTTTGCAAGTTGGGGGTGACTCGGAAGCAGGCGATGCCACTGTTGACGCACAGTGCCCCCCCTCTACCCCTTTGGCCCACGGTGCGGGGCCAGGAGCTCAGCCCTGGCTTTGGAAATGCTGCCTCAGCCAAGCGCTAGGTGGCAGCCATGTTTGCAGAGTCCCTCCTCAGCCACGGGCAGGGCCTAATGCCTTCTCCCGAGGGGTCACCTGGTGCCCAGCTGCCTGGCCCTGCAGCCCAGGGATGCATGTGGCCGGCTCCGCATGGCGACGGTGGAGCTAGCCATTGTCGGCACATTCGTTATAACGGTCCCCACCCCACACGCACAGCCTGGTGCCAACCGGCCAGTCCGTGTCCCAAGGGGTTCACCCAGTGCACTCGCTATGGTCGCTAACACCCCACAGACCCCCAGGGGGCATCTCAGCGCTAACAGCTGCTCCCCAAGGGCTACACCCCCCCTGGGCGAGCCCTAAATGGGAAGCGTGCCAAGCCCAGAGGGCGGCAGGACTCTGTGTTGCATTCGCCCTGCGGCCCTGAACACTGGGGCTGAGCCCTCACATTGCAGGGGCAGGGGTTGTTCACACTTAATCTGGAGTGACTCCCCTCTTCCCCCCCCCCCGCTCAGGGACTCACATGCCCCTTCCTTGTGCCCTTGCACCCACCCGGACGCATTCTCCAGCCCCACTGTTGGTGCCTTGGGCCAGGTGAGGCTGTGGGCCTGAAATGGTGCTAGATACACAGAGGCAAGGCAGGGATGCTGGGGAAGGGCAGAACAAGGAAGGGCACCATCCTGGTTCCATGCCCGCAGCACCGGGCATGTTCTCCCTGCTCTCCAACAGCCCTGTGAGCCTGGACCACAGCATCCTTGGCCCAGAGCCTCTGTCATGCCCACAGTCAGCTGCCTGGCTTCTCATCCCCTGCCAGCAATCTGCCTCTCAGTGTCCCCGAGCAGAACAGCCACGTCCTGAAAGGTTTTCCTTGTGACCAACCTGGCCGAAATCAAATTTAGCCTCCCTGCAACTCTTATCACATAGATCTGCTTTGGAAAACAACGGAGGGGGGATAGCCACTCCAGCTCCAATCAGCCTCAGACCCAGGTCTGGTTCCAGATTTCGCCTCTGGGCCCCCTCTGTCTAGCTGTCTAAACCACAGCTCCAGATCCAAACCCAATCTGGTTCAAAAATCGAGACACCTATTGGGGAAAAAAATGCTTTCTAAAAAGGTACAATGACACCGGAACACACACCAGGACAGAGGGGGACCCATTGGTTGATCCCAAAGACGAAAGGTACGTTTTCCCTACTGAATGTGTGACTACTCATTTTTAAAGTTACAGGCTAACACGGCTGCACCTCTGAGGGTGTGTCTACACTTATTTTGAAGTAACAAGGGGAGTGTCCACATTCCCACGCCTGTTCTTTCGGAATGATAACTGCCGCCTGTGAAGAGGAATAAACTTACTTTGAAACAGTTATTTTGGGAGTTGTTATTTCAAAATAACTTATTTCGAAATAACCTGGCAGTGTTGACATAGTCTGAGATGTTGACAGCATTATTTGACCTGCATGGAGTTGAACCATCGTCTGCAAAGCTGTAAAGAGCTCTCTGATAACTGTGAAATCCAAAGAGAAAGTCATCCGCGAATAAACCAATGTGGGCAGTGGTTGCTATTAGAAGTCAAGAATTTGCCAAAAAAACCCACCTGCAGTCGTATTGATGGACCTCAGTTTTGAGCAAAATTAAAGCTTGCACACATATAAAAGCTATACCACTCTAAAAATACTGGTATGGAGCAAATACCCCCCCGCCCCACACACACACATTTGGGGAGAACAGACCCTTAGTTGGCAAATGCTGACATTTTTAATGGCAAACCTGGTACATATGTACAGGAAAGAGCAAATGCAGATAAGATAGAGTCCATCTGCCTTGGAGAGATCACAAAGCTGATAGCTTTCTACACCAGTGATGGAAAATCAAACAGCAGAGCAGCAAACTGCAAACATAAGAAAGCTCAGTAGGTTATTTCACTTTCTAAAAAGGAAGCAGAGAGGCCTCTGACTCAGAGAGATAGTTGTTCAGAGAGTCCTGCATAAATTGTGTACAAATAAGCTAATGGAGGGGTCATGTGTTCATAATCCTGATGTTAACTCCAAACTCCATAAATATCTGCAGGGTATAAACAGCAAAGGCATAGAATCATAGACTCAGAGGGTGTGTCTAGACTACATGGCTCCATCAACAGAGCCATGTAAAGTAGTTTACCTGACATAGTCAATGAATCAGGGATTTAAATAATCCCCGCTTCATTAAAACAAAAATGGTTGCTGTGCTGTGCCAACAATCAGCTGATCCGGCACAGCGCGGCAGTCTAGACGCGGATCGGTCGACAGGGGAACCCTTTGTCGACCGCACCCTTATGCCTCATGAAACGAAGTTTACAGGAGTGGTCGACAATGGTTTCCCTTCTGCGTCTAGACTGCCCTTCTGCATCTAGACTGCATCTAGACTTTCCCGATCTGCGTCTAGACTGCCGCGCTATGCCGACAATCAGCTGATCCGTCACAGCACGGTGTCCATTTTTATTTTAATGAAGCGGGGATTATTTAAATCTCCGCTTCAATGACTATGTCGGGTAAACTAATTTACATGGCTCCATCGAGGGAGCCATGTAGTCTAGACACACCCACAGAGCTGATAAAGACCGCAGGAGGTCAAAGTCTGCGGATAAATGTCAGGAAGGCAAAATTAGGACTTAATATGGCACCCTTTTCCAGAGAGTGAGCAACAGGAACTTTGCTGTTAACTAGGGGACGACTCTCCCAAAAGAAGTCCTGAAAGCCCCATCGTGTAAAACTTTTAAATGCAGATGGTGTCAACGCAGTCGGAACCAATCCTGCATTCGCAGAGAGAGAGAGGATGCCCTGAAAGCGTTTTCTTTTTCTAACTTCTGTGATTCAGGGCCTGATCCTCAGCTGAAGTAAATGGCTGTGTCTACACTGGGCCACTTATTCCGGAAAATCAGCCACTTTTCCAGAATAAGCTGCGAGCTATCTACACTGGCCCTTGAATTTCCGGAAAAGCAACGACACTCTACTGTACAAAATCAGCCGCTATTCCGGAAAAGCTATGCTGCTCCCGCTCGGGCATAAGTCCTTATTCCGGAACACTGTTCCGGAAAAGGGCCAGTGTAGACAGCCCAGTAGTCTTTTCCGGAAAAAAGCCCCAATCGCGAAAATGACGATCAGGGCTCTTTTCCGGAAAAGCGCGTCTACATTGGCCACAGATGCTTTCCCGGAAAAAGGGCTTTTCCGGAAAAGCAGCCTGCCAATGTAGACGCTCTTTTTCTGGAAATACTTCTAACGAAAACTATTCTGTTTTAAGCATTTCTGGAAATTCATGCCATTGTAGACACAGCCAATCAGTATACAGATTGGACCTCCATGGACCCTTAGGACTTGACCAACCCCGGACGAGGGATTTTGCCAGAGATCTTCTGCAAAAACTTCTTGCGCAAAAATGCATCCACACTACAAAAGCACATCGCAAAAGTGACGTGCTTTTGCACAAGAGAGCGTCCACACTGCATGGATGCGCTTGCGCAAGAAAGCTTTGATTCCCATTCACAGAAAGGTCATCAGAGCACCTGTGCTTTTTCTGACAGGCTCTTTTTGTGCAAGAAACCCCTGTTGAGCGTCCACACATGCCTTTTTGGGCAAGAACTCTTGGTCAAAAAGGAGTTATTCCTTGTAGAAAGAGGTATACTTACACCGCAAAAGCCCTCTGTTCTGCCGTTTTACTGTAAATGTTCTTGCGTAAAAGCACGCTTGAGATGAGGACGCGCCGTGGGTTTTTGCGCAAAACCCTGTAGTGTAGACATAGTCATAGACAGATTGTTACATATAGGCTACTTGAAAGTAGGAATAAGAAATCCTCCGGAAAAGGCTTTATTTTCCGGAGAATAACGTCTAGACTGGCGTTTTTCTCCGGCTTTCCCCCAAGCCGGAAAAAAGCAGCAGCCATGTTAATGAGTAGAATTGTTAAAGAAATAACATTAGATACACCCATCACAATGTTCCTGGGGCAGCCTCTTAGCATAGATGGAATAAACTGCTATCTTAAAAGTCTCTGGAGTACATCCTTTGTTATGATGGGTCCACAGTCCTTCCCGTCCCTCTGTTCATAGCAAAGACGCTTCAGAAATGATGAGCTGGAATGAAGACATATGGAGGAACCTGTAGGGCCTTTTTTATAACCTTTCCTATGTGGAATGAGTCCCGTTGTTCTCACCGTGTGACCATACCTCCCAAAATGGAGTTTGTCACATGACAAGTCACCTGTCCATGTCCTTTTTAGGCAAGTGGCCACGGGGTGCATGATTGACTG